TCCAACCGAGCCCCATCAAGTCCGGGTCAGTACATTAGATCACCACTTGATATAAAAAATGTTTTATATATCAAATGTGACTTCCTGATTGGACACCTTAAAATTGGGCCTCTGTCTCTTTAAGAAGCTCCTGCTCTTTCTGAAGCTCCGCCTCCAGGAAGTCGTCCTGACATGGCTCCTCTGAGCAGCAGCTCCCATCATGAGATCAGAAGTTCCACCTGCTGTTTGCTAATTGCTGTTTGCTAGCCTGAAGGAACTGCGCCTCGAAGGCGGGGCTAAGTCCACCCAGGCATTTTACGCAGCTGAATGGTTGCCATGGAGATTAAAGGATTTCTCAAACATGTATGAAAGAATCAAAGCAACAATCCAGGCTTATTTTTCACGATGTAAAGATAAAAAACATAGATTTTTTTATGCTGCTGCTCCTTTAATGTTCGTCTAATTCTCAGAATCTGCTCTCTGATTTTCTTGCTTTGGTCTCAGCAGCTCCAGACGTGCGATCGGCGCCAGCGTGCCTGGTTGAGGCGGATCGGATCAGATGTCTGGGTTGGAACTGGCAGCACGCGGGCCGCGGGGAAGCTAACGCTAATCGGTTCTAAACTGGGCCGAATCGGGCCCAACGGACCTCAGGTAGCTGATCGGCGCCAAACATGCAGACTGGAGACATTTACTAATTATGTTCTAGGAAAAATGTACTTCTAGGAGTATTTTTACTACGCTGCACTTTTCACTATTATTTGAGTAAAATTTATGGATTAAACATGTTTAACCAAAAACTCACCAGACTCAGACAAACACCTGCAGTTTCTGTTAAAGTTTACATGACATAAAAAAAGAACATTTTTCTTGCCAAACATGTATTTGTAATTTAATTTTGTTTAATTTCAACTGAACTGAGAAACTAGACAAAATATTAGGTAAGATTTTTTGCAGTGTAACTTCCATCAGACTGAGGCTGCTGTTGGTAAAACCGGCTGATTATCCAGGTAAATCTGAGAAAAATGCATCTGGAACCCAGATTCCATTCAGAACCAGCCGGGTTGGGCTGAACCGAGCCCAGCTGACGTTCTGGTTTTCATTAGAATGGACTGAAGGTGAGACCTGACGGTGCTGCAGCGTGCTGCAGCGTGCTGCTCCTCCTGCGTTCATCAGCGGCCGCAGCAGCGGACCAAAACGACAGGATGGATTTACACAGCGCCGTTTAGGCGGGGCGGCCCGAAGGTTTGGGCAGGAAAACCCGGATTAATTCCTCATGCATGACTGCATGTTTGTTAGATTCAATTATAAGGCCGGGCCAGAGGTCCGCAGGGGGTTAATGGACTGTCCTCACACTCGCTGTCACAACTCGTTCTCATCGCCGGCAAAACAAAAGAGACCCAAATCTGTTTTCAGAAGCTAGAAAGTAAAAAAAAAAAAATCTCAACCTTTTCAGTTAGAAAGAGGCAGAAGTAAAACCATGGAGGTTCTGGAGTTTGAGCAGCTGAAGACACCAAACAGCGAGACTGATTTAAACCCAGAGTGTGTCTGGAGGAGGTTTGTGCTACTAGCAGGTGGCGCCGACCTTTTCCAGGCTGAAAGGTCATGTGATCAGAAGCTTCAGCGGCGTCTAATGTCAGCAGCGCGGCGTCACCTGACCCGACAGGCAGCGGCGCTTCAGCCCGCCGACCGCCAGGACCAAGAGCTGCAGTAGGGAGAGACGGCAAACTACAGCCAACTGCAGCAAACTACAGCCAACTGCAGCCAACTACGACCAACTACAGCAAACTACAGCCAACTGCAGCAAACTACAGCCAACTACGACCAACTACAGCCAACTACAGTAAGGAATTATCTTGTTTTCTCACTAAGTCATGCTGCATGACTGTGTTTTTGTGTTTAATGATGTAAAGTACTTGCTGCTGAAATGTGCTATACAAATAAAATTTGATTGATTGATAAAAAACCTGTAAAATTTCCCGACATCCAGTGAAAAAGCTGCGGTTTTGGTTTGAGGAAAATGTTTCTCATGTTTGGTGAATCCAGAGAAGCGATCGCTGCTTCAGGCCGAGAAACAAGGAGCCTCATCAGAAGCATTTTACATCCAGGTCTGCTAACAGCCGCTCAGCTGACGGCGGAGAAACAGCATTCCTTTCAAAATAAAAGCTGCTTTTTCACAAATACAGGCAGATGAAACTTCTAGCAGCAGAAACATAAACAATAAGAGTAAAGCAGAGCGAAGCCCCCAGTGCTGCTGATGTGGGGAATATTGCAGGTGTATCCTGATGGCTCTTTTAGCTCAACAAGAGCCTCAGTCCACAAACGCTGCTCCTAATCCCAAATTCCTCTCCTTCTCCACAGTAATGAGCTCCTCTCCGACTCAAGAGTTGACAGAGGTAAAGCATTTAGCACGCATGAATGAGGAGGAGAGAGAGAGAGAGAGATGAGGGGGGTGCAGGCCAAAAGAGAGAAATCCAGAGAGACGTGCATGAGGTAAGCTCTCCCTCTGGCGCGGCGCAGCAACGCGCTGCAGCGTCCAAACGCAGCGGCTCACTGTTGACAAAGAGATGCAGAGAAGAAGAATAAACTTCCCATAAAGCGAGATGCGTTTTCTCTGCCTGTCACAACAACCCGGGGGACGCAACGTGCGCGCCGTCGTCACATGGTGTGTGTGTTGTGTGTGTTTGCGTAGGCGGGCGTGTGTGCATGCTGCACTGAAATAATAACAAAAAGAAAAATAAATCATGGCTGATTCGTTCCAAGGCCCTGCGATGAGCCGCTCCCAGAATACAGACGCATGCATCCATTTTACGCATGCAGCCGCAGCATCTCAACAGGAAGCAAGCAGCCAACATGCTCCATCATGATGTCAAAGTCAGTTCTGGCATTTCAAAATCATGAATGTTGTTAAAGGGACGGTCGATTAAAGCCATCAAATAACTGTCTACATTCTTAAAACTAAATAATATTTAACATCTTGTCACATCAACACGTCCATCCAGGATGTTCTGCAATCAAAATCTATATTTTTTTAGTGCTAATTTGGAAAAATATGCAAGAAATTTTGCAAAACCAGATTTGGCCCCCGGGCCTCCAGTTTGATGTGATGCATTAAGAAGTGATGGGATAAAAGTGATTACAGGTTGATGGAGGAGATTTCTCTCCGCTAACAGAGACGATCATCATGGCAACAGACCGACCAACAGGATGAACAATAAGTCCAGCAGCAGCGGTTCAGACGTGTCAAACGATGCGGCCGCCTGCCGCCGTGCTGCGCTTAAAGGTCACAACAGGAAGTGGGAGATCAGAATTCCTTTGTGTGGAGCAGCGAGCGAGCGCTGGAGTCCAGCTCCGTCTCCTGGATACCTTCGATTTGAGCCGTGTCACTCCGGCAGGTTTTATCTCTGAGCTGCAGCTAAATGAGCTGCAGAGGAAGTTCACTCTGATCCTGATTCATGAACGGCTAAAATCTTCACTTAAATCTTTTCCTTCTTTAATAAAACATCTACTCTGTAAAATAAACACACCAGACATAAAGATGCAGTAAAATGTCTCTGCTTCCACTTCAAACCTACTCACCAACTTGGCTCTCTAAGGATGATTGGTTGATCAGAGTCTTAACCTGTTTAAAGGAAGTAGTCATCTATAACTTCCTGTTTCACTTGAGTTTAAATTTGACCCAACAGAGGAGGATGTTTTCCAGAAAGTATTAAAATAAAAAACAACAAATGAGTCATGATATTCAGAGGGAGAAGAAATCTGCTCCATGTATTTCCTGGAACAGAATGTACTTCATTAAAAACAATCTGTAATCTCAGAAAGAATATCTGTGGCTGCGTTCAATGCTAGTTATTAGCCTCGCTAATGCTAACACCATAAAGTAAAATTCAGCTGGGAGTCTTTTGTGTCTTAATAACAGTCTTGGCGCTACCACAGAAGTTAACAGCAACAGTTTTCCTTCTTTGGGGTTCAGCCAATCAGCAGCAAGGAAAATAAAGGCGTTTCTCTGCAAACGGCAGCCAATAAGAGGGCAACGCGTGGTGGTAGGTCAGATTCCCAAGATGCTTTTCCTAAAACAAGGAGTCGTAAACTTTACCTTAATGTTGCACCAAATCAGAGCAAAAGAAAAAAAGTTTAACCTAAAACTGAGAGGACAAGGAGGCAGGTTGACGTTCTACATCTCAGTGACGATGGAGAGTGATGTTCACTGATTCACACTCACTCTTCATGGCCAGTGCTGAGCACAGAGGAGGTTCTATGATGCTGCACAGCATCATGAACACTTTATGGACAGCAAAACATTTTAAAGGGAAATCTGTGCCTGAAAATGATCCCAGCTGGTTTTCCCAGACGAATGACAATCCAAAAACGTTTTTAAAAGTGTCTAAACAATTAATGTTTTCCTCACTGAGGAAACTCCAATCAAAATATGAATAATTTTGACAGAGAAAATGGTAAATCTGCTGCAGGTGAGACAAGTTGGACGGTGTGTCCTCTTTGTGTCTCGGTTTGGACGCGTCCTGCTGCGGCCACGCCCCTGCCACAGGTACGCCGGGCCTGATGAAGCTGCGCCGCGCGGCCGTGATACATCACCGCCTCCACCGCCGTGTCAGCCTTAGACAACCGCTCCTGAGCCCCAGCACAGAGGAGACATTCATCATCATGACAGCACACACACACACACACACACACACACACACACACACACACACACACTGAGCGGGATAAAACAATGTTGCAGCTGGCGATGCGTGAAGACGACTCCATCGCTCCATATATCACACATACTGTCCGCGTTTCCCAGCTAAATAACAACATTATGAACAAAAACATCAGAGAAATCAGGTTTTTTCCTCCTGCTTCTTTTTCCTTTGAGCTTCACATCAGCAGTGGCAAATCCAACCAGATCCATGTCGGACCTTCACCGCTCCTCTTCCTCGCCCTGCAGCGTCATTCCCACTCTGCTCTTCGTTCTTCATGGCTAACGTCTATTAAACACCTCAGTTTCATTTTTGTGTTTTAATTGGTGATTAATCAATCCTGGGTTCGATAAACTGAGAAACTGTTGCAGACTTTACTGATCTGTCTAAATCGCCTAATTTCATATTTTGCTGCACATTTTTACTTTTTCAGAATCAGTTAACTCTGATGTTACTGGAATCTGGAGGATTAAATGTTAAATCTGATCTCCAGAACTCCACCAACCCGGATTCACCGAGTTTAGAGATGTTTGGTCGTTTAATCTGGATTCCTCTGTGCATCTCCTGAAACACTGCAGCAAACGGCTAATTCTGGACTTCCTGTGATCTTCCACATGAATTTTCCTCTACAGTGACATTCAGGCCAAGGTCTGCATAGCAAATTTAAATTGAATGAATTATCAGCAGCATCAAGCTTCAGAGGCGTTTAAAGCCCAGCAGATATTTCTCATGAGAACCTCATGTTGTCGGCCACAGGAGCCTTTCAGCTGTTGGCTTCGTGATTTGTGTCCTCTCATGCTTGGCCAGGGGTCAGGAAGGCGCAGTGTGTGTGTGTGTGTGAGGGTCATAAAGACAATCTGGGGTGAGCACTACATTTGGCTCGCCTGTGGAAATCCCAGCTTGTTTTCACTCTGGGGAAAGTTTACAGTCGTTCTCTGGTTTCTCCTGGCCGGACGGCCATTTTGTTTTCTTTGAAGGTTGCAGCTCCTGCGTCAGGACCCTGAGGAACCTCACAGCTCAGCAACACAGGGAGGTGAGGGGTCGCATGTTTCCCAGACGGACCCCAGCCTCAGTTTGCACTTGGAGTAGGAGTGGAAAGTCCAGGCCAGAGGTTCTGCTCCAGTTTCCGCCAAACTCTGTTTCTCTGCTTCCAACAACAACTGGGAAGAAGTGTGAAGTCTGGTAGACTTCATTTGATTAGGAACCAAAACTGCAACATTTTCATCTGCTTTGAGCAACCTGTTCCCCTCCTGGCCTGTGGGGGCGCTGCACCATGAACCACTAAAGGAAACCACACAAAAACCTCTGAAGACACTGAGAGCAACTTCCTTCTTCACCAGATGGAAACAAGATGGAGGCGTCAGATTTTAGAGGTTGGAGGATTTCTCTTTAGGCTAAAGACCAGGAGCCATTTCTGCTGCTAGCGCTAGGCTAACATGTTAGCGTTGGTTGTATTTACCCAGAATGCTCTGCGCTGTAGTGCACTTCATGCTTTTGGAGCGGTCTCTGGTCCGCTTGGCATTCACACATGAATTCAATCTGGTTCAACTAAATGATAAAGCAAATGTCTTATTATGATAAAGCTAATTTTCAGCCTGAATGATGATCGATGTAGAGAAGAGGATTATTGCCACTGGAAAAAAATGTAAAAAGTCAGAATCTGGGTTTTTTTTTCTGTGGTCTAAATTGTTTTCTGTAACGATACGGTAAATGTCCATCACTAACAGATGGACAGAAAACAATCTGGATTTTAGGTCCTTCATTTGGTCCCTTTTTGAGGCCGACGGCAGACAACATGCAGCCAAACGCAGTAGTTGTGCTCCTGTTGTCAGGCTGCAACAGGAAGTGTAAGCCTGGGAGGAGAGCAGCTTCACGCAGGAGAAAGGAAAGCATCTGGCATGAAAAGCAGCTCTAAAACAGAGAGGTTAAACACAATAATGCAAAGAAGTATGTCAGAAGATTACCAGGAGCACCCTCAGCAGTGAAAAGCCTCGGTGGAGTGGCGTGTTCACATAAATACAAAGTGTCATTTCCATAAGCGCTATCTGGTTAAACCTGTCCGCCTCCTCGCCGGCTGGGTAAGAGGGCACAGATAGGCCTGTCTAATTCCAGCGACACGCATTATTTAGAAATCCTTCACTTTCCCCTAGACGCGGCCAGCAGCCGCTGATGCAAAACACATCAACGGGACGAAGAGCAGGAGGAAGAGGAGGGCGGCCCCCGCCGGGCCCGCGGCGTGAGAGACGGTGACACTGATTAATGAGAAAGCGTCTCGTCACAAGAGCTTCTGGGTAATAGACTACACGGCGAGTCAATGGAGGCGACTCGGAGGAGCAGAGTGGACCGGGCCTTTCATCCCGGAATGATACCACAAGGGATGCAGTTTTGTTTCAGGAAACAAACGGAAAACACAGCTGGGAATTTTATCTCCCATCCTCTAATTACAGCAGCTCACTGATCCACAGCAGGCAGCACGACTCGCCACAAACAGGAAGTTACTCATCTCAAACCCTCATGACACGGGCTTAAAAATAAAGAGGTTTATGACAATCGGCAGCCAATAACCATCGGTTGTATTCTGTGCTCTACGCCAGGCAGTAAACCGTGATTTTAAATATTAAACTGGCTCTGATCAGGCTGCTCCCAGAAAGAAAAAGGTTTTCCTGCAGGTTCTTTGATCGCTGCTTTGAGTCTGACAGAAAATGAAGGGATTACAAGATTATTCCCATTTCTGCTTCAAAGCGCATGTCGCCAACCTTTATCTGATCCGCACTGGACAGAACCAGAACCAGAGCACATGGAGCTGGTTGGTGCATTTCATCAGCAGATTGCTCAGTATCAGGCCGATCGATCACCGATCAGAGACACAAATGAGTTAAATCCAACAAAATGATTTATCTCTAATATTTAACATCAGATAAAGATCCTAAGTCTAACAGATCAGATGAACCGATCAATGAGCAATACTGATCTCCAACCTGCCTGCCGATTTTTAACCTTTTAATTCTGTAATTTCAGAGAAGTAACTCTTTACATTTTATTTATTCTGCAGGTTTTTAATCGAGCTCTTAGTTTGAAATCCAACAGAAAATGGAAACTGTTATTGAATTAAAAAATAAATGAAATCACTGATCAGAACCAATCGAGGAAAACTGATCGGATCAACTGGTTTATCTCTGGTATTAACAAGTGATAATGTTGCAACCAGTGAATCCAATGAACTGATCCCACATTAAATAAACTTCTAGATAAAACTGGTCACCAACTTCTGACCTGCCAATCCATCCATCATCCATCCATCCATCCATCCATCCATCCATCCATCCATCCATCCATCCATCCATCCATGCCTATCTCTAGCTAATGTTCGGGTGAGAGGCGGGCCACCCTGGACAGGTCAACCGATTTTTAACCTAATTCTGTAATTAACATGTTTTTATCTCAAACATTAAAATATAAATCAAATCCATCACCAATCAGAGCCAATCTCTGGAAAATGAGCCAATCCCAGCACATTACAGATGGATGTAATTATTACATAAGGCAACAAATGTTCAAATATCAGCATGCATGCCTCCATAAAATGAAATAGCATCATTACTTTGCGCACCATGACTCAACAATATTCTCCTAATTACTCCCATTTATGTCCATTTGGAGCCAAATAGAGCCATCACAGTTGCATTAATCCTGATGGATTCCATATCTTATCAATCATCACTGACTTTTAATGAGTTTTTATTCCTCCCGCCCCAACTTATTGGAAGAATAAGTGAAATTAAAAAGAATAACTGGAGCCCAGTGAAGGTTTATCTCTGCTGGGAAATAAAGGAGCAAAATCCGTCAGCAAACGGGAAGCAAGAGCGGAGCGACAGGAGCGGGACATGCGGGACACATGACCGACATGACGGGAAGAAAAGCGCCTTTGTCCCTGCGAGCTGCACGAGTTTAGCAATTACAGCAAAATGCAATTAGCGGACACGGGATAGCGGCGCATTCCTGCGTCCACACACACGCGCGCGCACACACACACGCACACACACACACATACTAAGTGTCCAAAGTGAGGAGAAAAACACACAGCCAGGGCGTCAACGCGCGCATGTGACACGCATCTCCACTTCTGCGCTTTTTCTGATCCGATTTCCTCCAGCAGCAGCGGGGAGGGAGCGGGGAGGACGGCGGGCTTCATGCGCTCCTCCGCCGGCTGCAGAGTCCCGAACGCGCCGCTCCAAACCCGGTGGTGATGATGATGATGGTGGCGGTGATGATGGCGGATGTTCTGCATGCTCGGCGCAGCGGATCGGCGAGGCTCATAAAGGCGGCGGCGTTAATTCCTCATAATGGCGTTCATTCATCAGCATCCGGGCTGCCGCGGACCGCGAGCCGCGGCGAACATCCACCCACTGACCACTGAGATCCGGACCGGCCGTTCATTCTGACCCGATTCAACATCTCCACACCGGACAGCCGCAAAAAAAATAATAAAATAAAAATAAAAACCGGAGCAGAAAGAGAGGAGAATAACTTACAGCCTGTCTCCAGGGACGAGCAGGCGGCTCTCCACCATCATATCGGGCAGAAAATCCAGGTTGTAGGCTGAAGTCATGCTGCCTGCCTGGCCGGTGTCTGCGGCGGTGTGCGCGCCTCCCTCCGGCTGTCCGTGTGTGTGAGAGCGCCTCCCCGATAAGAAAGGAGCGTCGCTCTGCCCGAACTGCGCCTGGTCGCGGAGACGGAGAGGGACAGGTGCAAGAGCCAAGGCCTCCCTAAAGGCGGTGCAGCCTCCAGCAGTTGTCACATTCTCCCCCCCTCCCTCTGCCTCTCTGGGTCCCGGTTCGGGTCCGGGTCTGGTCGCTGTTGCTGGTTCCGATCCGCCCGTCCTGGATGGTGAAGCCGCTCTGCAGCAGCGCAGCTAGCGGAGCTGGAGGAGCGGATCCAGCAGGGAGGCGTGGCGCTGCAGCGCTCCTTAAATAGACTCGGCGCTGCGCGGGAAAGTATTCACACCCTTCAACTTTCTCACAGTATTAGTACCACACCGGTTGTCCAGTGGAAAACTGAAAAGTGTGGCGTGTGTTTTCCTTGGAGATGTATTTCCTTTCCAGATGATTGCATCACTTCCTTTAGTGCAGCAGGTGAAACAACGGAACGCAGTGGGTCCAGGCAGGGCTGGACAATATGGCAGAAAAACTTATATCAGCGCTTCGTATCAGTTGATATTGATAACTATTGATCAGTTTTTGGTTTTAAATATCTGAAAAAACCAAACTGCTGGCAGAACCTTCAGGTTTTATCCTCAGTTTGTGGAAACCAGAAACTGCTGCTGCATGTGTTCAACAAGCTGTTGCTAGGTAACCAAAGAATGAATGAGTTGCTAGGTAACCGATTAGTGAGTTAGCTAGTTGATTCCTGCTTAGCTTAGCTAGCCATGAGAGGTTGAGCGGCTACAGCCTTTCCTCTGCCTACATCTCCCAGAATGCTGTGTGGTTTTGGATCACAGTTCAGTGAAATTATTGATGTATTATTTATTGATATTGATCAGGTGTCTGTAACGATAGATACTGTAAGATCCATCAGACTGGATGGACAGCGTCCGGTGAAACCATTCACTCAGCATGATGCAGCCGTCAGCGTGCTTCACCATGACGACGGAGGGCTGATGTACAGAGACACTCCTCCAGTTTCCTGTAACTTTGTAGCCTAAAACTTTTGTTCATTTGAGTTTTTAAATAAAATTTCATGAACACAACAATGAAAAGCAATGCAGAATCATGAAACGGATCTATATTTTCAATAATCTACAACCAAATGACTAGAATTTCTCCAGATTTGTCAAACTGAAACCATTCTGGTTCTGGTTCTGGTTCCATGGAGAACACCCAGCATCATGTAAACCAGTTGAACCAGCAGCAGCTCTGAATTTAAACGTTATAGAAACGTTTAAAACTTTGAACATCTTAAAATAAAGGAACCAAACTACAACCTGAACATGATGCTGCTTCACTGAAGCATGGTAGTAGCAGCATCATGCTGTGGGGAGGCTCTTTACAGACACTTTGAATCTCATCTGAGCTTCAACCCTTTAGATATCTAGTTTTATTATTATTATTTATAAAATAAAAAATGTTAAAACTGTATAAAAATGTACAGACTTTTACAAAGATCAGCAGAAATTTCTTCAACGTCTGTATTGAACAACATGACATCCACACGGATGGATCACTTTGTGCTGCTTTGCATCCTTACAGACGTTCAACACTAAAGAATAAAGTTTGACATTATTTTCCGTGTGATCAGCTCCAGAAACCGGCCCAGCTCCTTCTGCTCACGGCTTCATTTAAATGTGAGACTTCGTCTGCAGCTACTTGATCTCCATGTCCAGTCAATAATCTGTCAACAAATCAATTGTTAGTTTAATAGATTCTTGCTCCAAATAACAGCTAATTACACGAGCAGCTCTGAAGCTCACGCCGCGCTGCACAATCACCATTCAGAGCGAGCAAACAGTTGGGGCAGAATATCGCCGCAATAAAAGCACGGCCAGTTAGGTGATTCACACTCAGATGAGTTGACCAAATTTGGAGAGGTGCAATTACACATGGGGATAGCTTTGTAATAATCAGCCTGCCCATAATGTGCTGACTGTATTTTGTGCTGTGTTAATTGTGTGGGTCCAGAACGGCTCCCTGTGGAAGTGGACTGGGCCTGAACGCACCGCGGCGCCGCAGCAGCTCCTTGCTGCCCCACTTCCCTCGCTCCCTGCAAGAAGCAGAAGAAACGGAGGCACTCCAGTGAAATAATGAGCCTCTCTCATACGGAGGAAGGCGGCTCTCTGGGGAAGAGGACGAGTATCTGGGTCAATGTGGGGAAAATGTGCTCAGTCTGCACACGTAGAGCAGCGTAACTGTGTGGAGTGGGCGGGGCTTGGAGAGCGCATGGATCCACCTGACGCTGTCCCGCGGCGGAGACGACCGGACGTTACATAACCCCATCACATGCTTCACGCGCCGATCGAACACAAGCATCGCCGGAGGTAACGGCAACGGAGGAGCGCCGCTCACGCCTCCAGTTTCTGCCCTTCAGGGCTTCTGTAGTGCCCAGAGCAAATTACATTTAAAACAGTCATTTACCTGCCAAGAAACGCTGGATAGGCCACAAATCTCTCTGTCAACACATCTCACTGAAATTACTCTGCAGCAAAGGAGCAGGCCTCTTTTGAGAAGTGATGACAGCGAGTTCCTGCTGAAAATAACCTGAAATCCACAGAAACAACAATAAGCATGACAGGAAGCGGATAAAGCAGTAGGTTAAACTAATTCAGCCGTGTCATCGCTGTTATCGCTGCGCTGCTGTCAGATAGCAAGAATTATTTATCTCCTCCCACAGATTCACATCATCCTGCATTAGCTGTAACTCAAGAAGACAGAACTCATCTTCCAGAAGCAGATAATGTTGTTCCTCTACAAAACTCACATTAGATCTAGAATACCAAACACATCAGACGTCCAGCTGGAGACCAAAGACCAACGGAGACAATCTGAACCTGCTTCACAGCTAAAGGCTAAAAACTGCCAAATATGCATCAACATGCAGGAGCTACTTTCTACTGTTTTCCTTATTTCCTTCTTGCAGGTTCAATCAATCAACACCAATTAAAATGAACGGTGCTCCAGGATTGGCTGCTTTGTAAACATTAGCCGTTAGCTCATCAACTAGCATGGCGTCAACAGATTCCAGCCTCCAAGATGCAGCTTCCTTCATACGACGGCAAACCATTAGAAAAACGGAGGGGAACATTTACACAAAAACTTTCCAGAATGTTGGAAACTTTCATTAACAAATTAATCTAAACATTTCTGAGTTTTTTGGTAGAAATTTACTTTAATATCTGCACCAGTCGTGAAACTTTAAAGTACAGACAGATTTCCTGCAAATAATTTTGCGTTACGTTCCACAGAAAAATACACAAATACTCCAGCGGTCAATGGGTGAGAGGCAGGTCTAACAGGACTAACAACCACACACACACACACACACACACACACACACACACACACACACACACACACACACACACACACACACAGGGGGACAATTTAAAGACTAATTCACCAAACAGTCATGTTTGTGGGAGGAAGCTGGAGTGAAAACTTCATTGCACATCAACGTGTTTCCTTGATCTTCAGTTAGTTTCATCCTGGACTCGATGCAACGTCCTGAAGAAATCAGCTGCTCTCATCTTGTCCAGCATGTTGGTGCATCTAAAATCAACTTTCATGAGAATCCAAACCAAAGAAATGAAGCAACAAGTCCATGAGGTACGCAGTGTTTCTGAAACACACATAATGTAACAGGAGTTTACTGATTAATGCCAGTAAAGATGGCCGCCGTCCAGCAGCACTCTGTTTGCAGCAGTAAAGATGGCCGCCATCCAGCAGCGCTGAGCTTGCAGCAGTAAAGATGGCTGCCGCAGGTCTGGGCCGTTCAGGTTGAGGTAGAAAAGTCAGATTTAGGTGGTGTTGTCTTATAAAGGCTACTTTAATAGTTTAAACCCTACATAATCCTAAACATGCATTAATATCCTCAGTGGAAACTGTCTTGGCCTTCACAGCCTTCCTCATCTCCGCTCTTTAGCCAATCAGCTCCAAGGAAACTGAACGATATTCCTGGATTGGCTGCTTAGCAAATCCCATCCAATAACTAGAGTTATAATAATATTTCAAATTCCCAAACTGCTTTTTAATCAGCGACGAAATAAAAAGTACTGTTAATTTTATTTAATTTTCCATAAGATGATTATTGTTGAGGGACAAAGTTTGTTTAATCTTCCACTGCTCAGTCCAAAGGTACGGTGATCTAAATGGTCGTCTTCAGTGGCAAAGTGTGTGTGTAGGTGTGTGTAGGTGTGTGTCCTGGGCTCAGGAACACCTGGATAATGGAGCAGAGCCGCCGCCCAGCTCCAGGTTCTGAATCGACCCGTTCGCTCACATCCGTCTGGTAAACAATCAAGCAATCAAATCTCCTCATTTGCTTCTCATTCTAAACAAATCCTTCCCTCCTGTTCGCCAAACAAAACCTTCCATCCATTAATAAAACATGATGATGCTGCTTTCTCAGCGCTGCTTCTGGAGAGAAAAACTGGCCTGTTTTTAACATGCAACCTGCACAGCTGGAGGTGAGTCTTGTTTGTTCGCTTGTTCCACGTGTTTCTGGTCCTTGGAGATAATTAGCCTTTAATGGTGCTGAAACAGCCAGAGAACAAAGGAGGAAATGAAAGGAAACAGGACGAGCTGAAGCCATAAAAGGCAGGTTGAGCCTGAGTTTTACTGGTCAGATCCAGTCAACCCGTCTGAAACAGGCCGTTCTTTATCGCTGCCTGCTTCCTCTTGCCCATCACTCCATCTCCCAGCCTGAGGCCTCGTGTTCCCACATCCCGCTCATGGCAAGGTCTGCCTCCGCCATCGCTCCTCTCTCTCCGTCTAGTTATTTCTATCTTTTCTCCCCTTACGTCTCTCCATCACCTCGGGCTGAGGTGGGGGCTCAGCTGCCCGAACAATACAAATCGATCACTTAGAGAAGAGGAGGAGGAGATAAGGGGGAAACAATGAAGCTGGGCCAAAAATA